AAATTAAAACTTCCCTCACTGATTGTCAACCAATTAGTGCATAAAAATTATATTCAGTTTTTGAAAGAATAGTCAAAAGTTGCTTTTCACTTTGTTGATTTTAACACTAAATGCTTTCTCCGACTTGTGAATTTCGAGTCTCTGTCTTTGAAATATCGCCCATGAACTAATAATTAGTATATTATATACTTTTAAAATTTATAAAATTCAACAATTTCAATACAAATATTTAAGTTTATTTAAAAATAATAATTTTATAAATTCAAATATAAATTTTTTTAAATAATTTTAAGCAATATAATAAGTTGAAACAAATAAAATTAAATTTTTAAAATCTAAATATAGATAAACTTAATCTTCTTAAAAATATTTAATAAAATATAAATTTTAATAAAATATTTATATAACATTATAAAAATTAAATTTCATTTTCATTAAACTAATGACATCTAATATAACAATGACACAAATGAATCCAAATGTAATATCATACTATTACTACTACCACCTAACTGACGTAAGTTTAATAGTGACAAATTTTTATTTTTTTAAAATAGTTTTAAAAATAAAAATATTTAAATAAAAGATTCTCTTTAACATTTTTAATGTACTATTAATAGAAAATGCTTAATTGCATTAAATTTTTTAAAATAAAAACTAAATTATGACATGAAAATAATATCAATTTGAGACTTCGCTTAAAAATGCAAACGAATGAATTATTTATCAATTAATTTACCTGAAACGGGTTAGCAGCTGGGTTAAATAAATGATTCCAGTGTCCATATCTATGTCAATTCCATCAGAAGTAGAAAGAAAGTAAAGTGTCCACGATTCTCTTGTGGTTGCAGAATTTTGAAAGATTGAATCGGTGCCCCTCCATTGGGTCCAATCTTCACGAGCCCAAAATGTCCAATTTATAGTTCGTTTGTTTGATGGTTGAAACGTAATCCTAAAGGTCTTCCACATTGTGCTTGGACTTCTGAGAATCAGCAAGCCCATCACACAATGTTTGTTCCTGAATTCGACCACCAAACCAACATCAAAACATAGGATGATCTTCGGATAATGTCACAGAGTTACTGTTACAATATTCATTGAGACTAAGAGAGAGTAGAATTAGATCCATGTTTGAAGTTACCTGGTTGGTGAATGTAGCCATATTCCTGGAATCCCCTTGGACCTACGTATTTGAGATTCTTCCATCAAAACACCGACGATGGCCCTTCACCGTTTCGATCAAATGCTAGAGACTCAGGGCCTGTGATTGGTGACGGTAGTGGTAACCTTGTCCGAGATACAGCCACTGATGGTGAACACAGAAGGAATGCCATAAATATTGCAGAGAAAGTGATAACCATTGTGATTTTAGACAACATATTGCTAATGATGTTTTATCAATGTATGACACGAACCTCAGCATTCAGTGGTAGTATTTATAGGCTTATGTTTACGTGCGCAATGCAAAAGAACCGTGAAGAACCCAACTTTGTAACAACCTTGGTCAAAAAAACATAGAATTTAGGAACACCAATATGTCATAAACGGTCATAGTTTCCTGTGAGAATGGATTTGGGAAAAGTAACATTTTTATGTGTAGTTTTTGCATGAAAATGTGAATTTGCAGCATGGGCAGGAAATAAAGATGGATTGTTAATTTTGTAGTTTTGTGACATTTCTTTGAAACCTCGAAACTTCTTCTCAGTGAGCTTTGTTTTCTCGAGTTGTGAGTCAAGAAAAATGTTTTTCTTGTTAAACTTTTATATCAGTGTGTTTATGACATCATTTGATCTTCTTCTATGTGATGAATTCTTCTCCATATGAGAACAACTATAAAGTCTGCCTCTACTGTTTTCTAGCTTTAAACATGGTAAGATTAATTTTGAAACCACAATGCACACATAACCAATTTATTATTGTTTTCAATTAATACGAGTAATTTTCTTAAATGATTTGAATTAGTTAAGGGTCTTATATATAAGAATGGAGGGACAGTATTTTATTAACAATTATTTCTAACTGTATTATTAGTCCAAAATCTCTACCATTTTCTCGATGACTAATCTCTGTTATTAAAACTTAATTAATCACATGGAATAATATCTCTTTTTAATTATTCTTTGACCTTTCCAATACTAGAATGAAACTTCATGTATCATAATTAATATGATTGTCCTATGACTTCTTTAGCCATAAATTTTCTATATATTCTTTTTTATTGTACGTGGTCGAAGATTTTTGGTCCTGTTAATTGTAGTATTTATTAAGTTACTTAAAGCAAAAACATAATATTGCTTAATAGGTACTTAGTGTTGGGTAGCCGGTAGTCAATAAGATGATTACTGGATACTCTATGAATAGATCACCTAATCGAACATCAAATATCGGATACTATATTTCCTACATCAAAGATTGCACCTTTGTTATAACAACGTTGATCATTAAGATAAGATACCGCCTACCGGTATCTCCTCATGCCTACCAGGAACATTCTCACGTGATATAACATAGCTAAAAACAAGTTTAGTTTCTCACAGGTAAATTGGTCATTGGGCCTTTGTGCTAATGGACATGGTCAACGAGGTACGCCTATAAATATTAATTTAGTCATAGTTTAACTTTACTTTTTGCATTAATTCATATTTGACAAAAATCTCTGACCAAGTACTAACTTAAGCATCGAAAGATCTTATGCAGGCACCCTATCATTCAGAAGGAGACAAAGGAGACAAAGGAGACTTGAAGGACAAATATTAAGTAGTAAAGAGCTCCTGAGAGTAGAAGGCGATTTTGTAGAGCACTCAGTTTTGCAAAAACATTTTTCATTTTTTTCTTTAGAACAAGATCCTTATGAAAAATCATTATAAATACTAAATATTGTCTTTCTCATTTGCATCTAAAATAAACAAGATTAAAGATTAAAGGAGAATAATCATTATTAGTAACATAAATTGAGAACAATATTACTTATTATTTCTTACAATGAACACTTTTAGGTTCGAGCCATTTCTTCTGCACCTCTATGATTTATTCCTCAACCCAACATATTAAAATGATTTAATTATACTTGACTAAAAAAATAATAAAAACCCTAATATAAATCCTAAAACAATAAAACTCCACTCTCCCTCTCATGATCAAAACTTCGTTGTACCTCTATACATCTCATCTCCATTGTTGTCATAAGGGTTCTTCTCCATCACTGGAAGGAAAGGTTGCACCTCTCTACAACTCCAGTGGTGGAAGGTGCATCCCCTAACACCTCCATTTAATGTA